ACATAGCATCAGCGTGTCAGCAAGGTTGTTCAGCTTTCACCCTTTGATGTCCGACATTACTTTGGAAGCCTTCTCACCACAAATCCGAGTTGGCCCAGAGAGATCCTGGTGCAGGGTGCCCTCCACCTGGTCTGCCTTCTCTTCTCTCAGTTATTACCTCCTTTGATCCACACTTCTGGCTCACACATCTCTTATCCACCACAGCATATTTTCTGAATGTCTCCTTTCCTCATCTTCCTTCAGACCTTCCAGTTTTATTCGTCTCTTGCCTCCTTTCATTTACCTAGATCCCTTTCACCATCTTCTACCTTCCTCCACAGAGGCGGCGTGACATGGGGCAAAGAGAACAGGCTTCCCTGTCCCCAGCTCCATTTCCACTTCTGTCTAGCTACATAATGTTGCTCACCTCACACCCTCACCAAGCCTCAGTTTCCCATCTGTAAATATTTCCTCACAGAGGTTTTGTTGAGGATCCCAAGAAAACTTCATTCCTGTTACTTTATTTTCATCACTATGTGAACTGCCTTGGCAACTCTAAACAACTTTTGCAGTTTTAAAATTGAACATTTTAGCTGTGATTCATAAAATCCATAAAAAACTACAAACTTCCTATGTTTTCAACACCTTGATACTGTGAAAATTTAACTAGGAGATTTACAGGAAACTAAAGGTTGACCTACTAGTACTATGAATGTTTGTGAATAGTTTAGAAACATATTTCTTCTTAGAAAGAGAAACTAGGTGATGGTATTTTCTTCTTAGGCTCAAGTGTTAGATACCAAGAGCCTGTAATAAATCACTCCTTAAATAAATAAAATGTGAAATGCTCTAAGACAGATGTTGGCAATTGTTTACTGTAAGGGCCAGGTATTAACTATGTTAGGCATTGCAGACCATATGGACTGTGTCACAACTACTCAACTCCGCTCTTGTAGCACAATAATACACAAGCAAATCAATATAACTAAGTTCCAATAAAACTTTATATAAACAGTAGGCAAGCTACATTTGGCCCGCAGACTGTAGTTTTCTAATCATTGCTCTAATAGTGATCATTAATGACTCAGAAAATCAGAAATTGTGATTGAATGGTAGGTTTCAGGTGACTTCATGATGATTCTGGAATTATTAAGGCTTTTTGGTTTTTAATGAATGACATCACATTTTTGTTGTTGTTTTTGTTTTTGTTTTTTGGCTTGTACAAGTCCTCCTAAAGGAAAAATCAGTCAGATCAAGGTTTTTAAAATCTGGGATAAACTGGTCTTTGAAATAGATTTGGGCTTCTCCAGGTTTGCTAGCAATTGCCACCCTAATTTTCCACAGATGGAGCAGAGAAGGGTCCCTTAGAGGAATCAGAAACCCCAGGACAACAGGGAAGTAGCAGTAACTGCTACTTATTGAGCTGTCCTCCCTATCACAAACTATGACCACCACAATCTCTATTTTATAGACTGTGAGAAGTTTTAGTTGACAGGATGAGTGCTTTGCTCGAGATCACACAGAAGTATTAGTGTCAGATGAATTGCTTTCCCCTTGGTCACAATATCTCAATCAATACAAATAACCTACTTTCCCTGGACATCCACCTTTCTTCAGATTCAGAACCAGAGAGAGAGAAAAAAATCACCCCTTCTTCCATCTGTCTTTACTTTCTAGTAGAAGTTATACTTAAAAAAATAATGAGCCAGGCAAAGTGGCTCATACCTGTAATCCTAGCACTTTGGGAGCCCAAGGCAGGCGGATGACCTGAGGTCAAGAGTTAGAGACCAGCCTGCCCAACATGGCAAAACCCTGTTTCTATGAAAAATACAAAAAATTATCTGGGCATGGTGGCAGTCCCTACAATCCCAGCTACTTAGGTGGCTGAGGCAGGAGAATAGCTTAAACCTGGGAGGCGGAGGTTGCAGTGAGCTGAGATTGCTCCACTGCACTCCTGCCTGGGTGACAAGAGTGAAACTCCATCTCAAAAAAAAAAAAAAAAAAAAAAAAAAATCAGTGCTCCCTTAGCCAGCCCCTACTGCATGCTAAGCATAAAGCTTTCATTACAAAATAAAAGATATTGTCTTTTTATTTCCCAAACTAAAATGCAAAGTCAAGAAAATGGAAGCTAAGACAATTAAGTGATTTGCCTGACGTTGTACAAATAGTTAATTGTGAAGTCAGAATTTGACATAGTTCTCATCAGCTACAAAGCATTTTCAGCTCATACAGCTGCCAAAGAGCTTAGTGTTAAAAACTATGACTCTTGAGCCAGATGGTCTGTGTTCAAATCTTAACTCCACTAATTGCTAGTTGCACACTGGGTACATTGTTTAATGACTCTGTGTCTTGTTTTCCTGAATTGTCAAATTAGGATCATGATAATGATTTCCTTCTCATTGTTTGTTATAGAGAATAAAGGGTTAATAAGAACATGATAAACCGCCGGCTTTAAGGTTTTTTTTTTTTTTGGGGGGGGGAATATAAGCTCTATGAGTACAGAAGTTATTGTCTGTTTTATTCACTGTTGTATCCCTAGCACTTAGGATAATGTCTAGCACATATTATGCAATATCAATATATAAATAAAAAATGTCCAAAGTAGTCTTTAAATTAGGTGATTACTGGATTCAAAGCAGCATGAAAAAATATAGCTTTCCTTTTGCTTTACTATTTTTGTATAACTTGGATTTGATATGTGAAACTAATATGAGTCGTTGAATTCTTAAAGTGTAATAGTGTACACTAGTGATCATCTTCATTCTTTCAATCTTCCCAACAAAAGTAGAAGTTAGTACAAAAGTGAAGCTTTTAAAATCAAAGTGGAAGTTAGCACAGAGTTGAAGCTGAGTTTGAGCACATAGCAGGTACAGAGTGCTTTCAGATGTACTCCTCTAGTTCTTGGCTATTCCCCAAAGTGCATCCTTACATAATTAGCTTTAAAATTCCTTTCATTCCTTATTTTTTAAAAAATCTGTCATTAACACATAGATTTTTATCTCTGTACGTTTATTTTTACTAACCTTGCATGTTTTTAAATACTGTGTATTCTAAATCTGAATCAGTAGTTAGTGGCAACAGCTGCTGGGAACCACTGTAATAAATGGATTATGGGTTCCATTTACCTGGCAAGATTGCCTTTGATGTCTGCATGTCAGCAGTGAAAGGGGTTCCAGAGAACAACAAAGCTTCTAGGGGAAAGGGCAAGCTCATCCTGAGACTGAGTATGCACAGAGAGGGAAGAGAAACAGGAGACGGGTGCAGAGTTGCCTCTGGAACAAACATGTTTATGTGGGAGGCTTTATGAAGGGGCTCCTGAGTGGGTGAGTCCCGTGTGTCTGCAAGAGCATTACTTAGATGCTGTGCCACCTAGGCAGAAAACAATGTTTAAATCTGTGCCGGATTTATGATGAGTATATGCCAGATTTATGATGAGTATATGTGATATTCATTCTGAGTGGTATAACTGATACTCCTAATAGCAATGTGTTGAAGTTCTAATCTTTCTCAGTGGTTTGCACTATGTAAATCATTATTTTCATTAAGCTTAAGCATCCTCACAGAATTACATAGCAGTAACTTATGTAACCACCTCCTTAGAATGTTCTCTCTCTGACAATATGACCACCAAAGACTCTTTTAAAGACCTTTGAAATTAGTAATTAGGGGGGCTAAAAATGAAGCATTAATGTGGAATCCTCTACATGCTTTATAGAAAGCAACTGAAGTAAATAAGTTTTGCTCTTGAAGTTTCTTCTGTTTGCTATAAAAATAATTTGCAGATTTGCCTGGTTTGTATGTTTCTTAGTCAAGAATAATTCATCTGTTACATTTTGGAAAAGTTTGTAAATAAATGATTTGTTTCAGTTTAAAATATCTCTAAGTTTGATTATCCTGTATATGAAATTATTAAGAAATCTGTCTATAAACTTGATTACCCTGTAAACTAAACTGTAAACTTTTACTCTGTGAGCCAATGATTTAAAGAATGCCATGAGGTTGAATTTCCGCACCTAGTTCCAGAACCTAATGGTAAAACTTAGTTCTGAGTTTATGACTATGAAATAGGAATTTGGTCCAAATGACAACAATAAAGAAAAACAAGATTAACCTTGAGACAGTGTATATATAAAGTATAATGAGCATGAAAATATGGTAAAATGCCCTGATGTTTAAACTTCTATTAAAATAACAGCTAAAAATGTCCAAGTATTTGTTATGCATGAAAAGTTATGTGCAAAGCATCTTACATATGTTACTTTATTCTCTTTTTCTATGAGATAAGTAGTAGTAGTAGTATTCTCATTTACTGATGAAGAAAAATGGAAGGAAATAAAGATTTGTAAAGGTCAAATAACTTTGCCAAAGGTTGCCAGGGTTAGAAGTCATGGAGTCAAGTTTCAAAGCTAGATTCTTTGCCAATGGAACCTCAACTCTTAACCACTGTCCATGACAAAAGCCTAAATCACTAATGAGATTGGCAACAAACACATTTTTAAGTTGAATAAGGAAATGGTTACATAAGGCAACCTATAAGTATAATCATATTCTAGATAATATCATAAAAAATAAAGAAACTATATTCAGAATAAATAAAAACCTTTCATGTTATGGCCCTAAAATTAGGGTTGGATTACTAATATTACTTCCACTTGATATAACAATTCTAACTTTTTAGAAGGCTGAAATTCAGGGAATAACCTTACGGTTATAAGCTTTGTTTTTCCATTAAAATTAGTGTTTTTACATCTTATTTGAATTCATTGTCTAACCAACAAAATTCTCTAGAAATCTTTTTATTTGGGGTTTTTTGTAGACATGACAAATTCAAGCCTTGCAGAAGTTAAGAAAATCAATTACTATGATGCAGCTAATTGGTAGCGGAAATATACTTCAAATCTAAGTTTTATGATTTCAAGTCTAATGATTACTCCTGTCCCTTCAGCTATAAGATAACAGAGTGAGAACAAAAGTGGCTTGTGAAATCAATCTAACCCAGGATTTCTTCTTTCTTCTCATAGGTCGATACCCGCAGGAGAACAAGGGAACCTACATCCCAGTGCCTATAGTCTCAGAGTTTCAAAGTGGAAAGTGGGGGGCCAAGGTTGTCATGAGAGAGGACAGTTCTGTGCGGCTGTCCGTCCAGTCTTCCCCCGAATGTATCGTGGGGAAATTCCGCATGTATGTTGCTGTCTGGACCCCCTATGGCATACTTCGAACCCGTCGAAACCCAGAAACAGACACGTACATTCTCTTCAATCCTTGGTGTGAAGGTAAGAGGCAGGCATTTAGTTTTCTCATTTAAAAATTCATCTATTTGGCAGGGTCACATGGCACATGCCTATAATCCCAGTTCTTTGGGAGGCCAAGATGAAAGGATCACTTAAGGCCAGGAGTTCAATACCTAGTCTCTAAGAAATAAAAATTAAAAATTAGTTAGGTGTGGTGGTGCCCACCTTACTCCCAGCTACTTGGGAGGCTGAAGTGGGAGGATTGCTTGAGTTCAGGAGTTAGATTACAGTGAGCAATGATCGTGCCACTGCACTCCAGCCTGGGCAACAGAGCAAGACCCTGTCTTGGAAAAAAAGTTCATGTACTTCCAATACATCTCTTTTTTGGGGGGTAGCAAGATTATTCTAAAGACATGTACCTCTCCTGCATATACTATTTTAATGATTAAACGAGCAAGATAGAAAACTCATCCTCAGTGTATATGTGGATAAAACCTCTATGTGAAGTCAATGCTGATATGCATTTATTTTGGGATTAATTGAAGGTTATGTAAAATCGCACAGTTATTTATGGAACTATTTAACTGCAGTTTTTGTAATTAAAAGTAATTGCAAAAACCGCAATTACCTTTGCAGCAACCTAATACATGTTGATGGTATAACCTTTGGATGCTTTTGTTCTATAATCAGGCTGGGCTTATTAAACTTGACTATCAAAATTATTAGAGTCTATAACTCTGACTTCAGAAAAATAAAATAAAGTCAACACTGTTCATAGTGAAACTAACTTCTCTATCCCCCTGCTTTAAGAACAGAAAGTCTACACATCTAAAGGATTCCACAAACTTGTTTATGAGCATAGTGGGTGCAAATTCTGCAAACCGTAACTCTGGATGTGCAAAGATGTAACTATACTTTAATACAATACAACTGGATCTCTAGTGCTATTTTCAGTCTTTCTGTCTGCAGCAGAAGCTTAATCTAGTTATATTCAAATAAACTCAGTCAAGTTCAATGATTTCTCTATCAGTTCTCTTTTGGGCCTCAGTCACACACAGAATTTTCTTCTCATCTTCGTCTCTGCTCTTTCTTGCTTCTTCTCTGCTTCCATACTTGGTATAGGGCTGTTTTAAATTCCAGAGGCAGATACTGATGTTGCAGCAGCATCGATGCGGGAGAAACCACTTGTAGGTCTTAGGAAATAAGGCAGTGAAAGCTATAAAAGCTCAGATGGGGGGTAGGAGACTTTCCATGACATCCTACCCCATGTGCACCACCTCTAACATGTTCCAAAATGAGCCTACATTATTGCTGATTTTGAATGACCCTTGTATGTGAAAGTTGCATTTCAATCAGGGTTAATCTGTCCTAGATATAGAAAAGTGGACAAAAATATTTGCTACTTACCTAGAACATACATCTTGGTCCTACTGACCTTTTCTTTGATTAATATTTATATTTATTTACTTTTTGTAGAGACGTGGTCTCACCATGTTGCCCAGGCTGGTCTCAAACTCCTGGGCTCAAGCAGTGCTCCTGCCTTAGCCTCCCAAAATGTTAGGATTACAGTCATGAACCACCATGCCCTGTGTGGCTTGGGAGTTACCTGTTCTACTAGTGTTGGCAAATGACACTAAGCTATTCCTACACTCCCCGTATCTCCATTCTCATCATCTTGTATCCAGGACTCCTACCTATGAGACAGATATTCAAGGTAAATGGTAACAGGAAATGTTAACTGGGCATTTGCAGTTCAAAAATGAACTCTTGTTGGTAGTTATCTTATCAACCAGATAAAAGGCATTTTGCAACTGGTTGATGAGGTGACATTACAAAAATGAAAAAGACTGAGAGAATCAGAGTTACTGATATATAAATTAAGATTTTGAATATGTTAAGTTGGAGATAACCATAGACAGACAAGCAGAAATGACAAGTAGGTATGTGAATCTGAAGAGGAAAATCAGAGATGTGTATTTGGGAGTGGTCTGCACCTAGGAAGAAAATATAGATAAAGAAGGAAATGAGATATAGTATCCACCCTTCAGGAACACCGTCATTTAGGAGTCCAGTAGAGGAGAAGTAAGCAAAGAGAATGAGATGGAGAGTATGTAGGAAGCAGCCTATTCTGAGAAAATTGTATTTAAAAATCTATACTTATAAATTAATCAGGAGTTTGTTATTTACGTTCTTTGTATTAAAAAAAGAAAATCATAGACTTCATATAACTGTTCAGAACTCCGGAAAATTTCAGGAATGCTATAATTTACCCAGACCTTGGCTTGTTTGCAGCTTTTCTGGATTGTATAATGTGTGTGAAATGGGATACGTGTCTGCATACGTTTCAACTTATGTGGCCACTCTTCTTGAGGGGAAAAGGGTTCGTCATGTTGCCTGAAATGTTAACTTTAAGGATAACTATTCAGGAGGAGCAGTATAATAACCTAATTGCTGCCTTGATCTTCAGTTGTATCCATGATGAGCAGCTTCCAGATACCTCTGTTCCGAAAGAGTCACTTAGGTCTAGAGGTGCGTTTGTCCTAGAGGCTATAAGGGGACCTCCCCTAGGTTTTCAGTGCATAGAAAGGATTAGAGAAAGGTGGGACAAAAACCAGAGACCAATTTGGAAGCTGTGGTCTAGGACAAAGATGATGATGGACTAAACTATGGTGGTACCAGTGGGGATGAGAAGGTATTAGATCAGAGATCTATTTTGTATTTCAAACAAATTGCACAGGGATCGAAGATGAGAAGTAAAGAAATGAGAGGACTCAAGAATAATTCTAGATTTCTTGTTTGGCCAATTGGGCTGACAGTGGTGTCGTTTTCAGAGCTGGGAAGACTGTGGGAAGTGGAGGGGAAGCACTAGGGGTGAAGCTAAGAGTTATATTCAGAAATGTTAATTTGGTGATGTCTATGAGACATCCAAGTGAAAATGTCAAGTAAGCACCTGAATAAAGTGAATCTAGAACTCAGAGGAGATGGCTGAGCTAGACATGCAAACATGGGCACAGTTAGGAACAATAATGAACAAAAATGATTCAGAGTCATTAACAAGTAAGAGTCAAGACAAAGGAGAAGCCAGCAAAGGAGACTGAGCAGGAGCAGTCAGTGAGGCACAAGAAGATCAAAAGAGCCTAGAGCCGGATACATCGATAGATTCAAGACAGCAGGTAACACCGTTGAATGCTATGATTAGCGGAATAGGATAGGGTAGGAAAGTGGTCATATAGTGTGGAGACTGGATGTCTTCAATGTTCTTGAAAAGGACCGTTTTGCTAAAGTAATGGGGACAGAGGCCAGGGAGATGGTCACAGGCTGTGCTGTAAACAGGAGGGAAGACCACAGGAAATGGCACCTTTCTCAAGACTTTCTGCAGCACCTAGATGTTGATTGAAGGTCAGAGGAGAATTTTTTTTAAAGACAAGAGAGGGTGGGTGTTATTTTATGGTGATGGAGGGGAAGCAGGAAGGAGAGTTTGCAATCCAAAGAGAGGACAGTGGTTCACAGTCTTGGCTGCACATTGCAATCATCTGGGAAGCTTTGAAACTACAGATACCTCAGTCCTCAACGTAAGCATCCTTAGGTAATTGCTCTGGAGTGCAGCCTGGGCTTCAAGGTTTTTAAAAGCTCTGCAGGCAATTCTGGGAACGAAGGTGAAGTTTTAGGATTGAAATCTTTTGAGTGGTTGGAATCCAGGGAACAGGTGAAGGGCCTGTGATGGGTAAGGCTATTTACCCTCCCCGGAGGGGGTACAGATTTTCTAGTTTAATGGAAAAATAGGTTGTTACCATTTTGTGACTCTTTTTTTTTTTTTTTTTTTTTTTTTTTTTTTGTCAGTGAAGCATAAGGCAAAGTCATGCGTTGAGAAGCAGCAGCAAAGAAGGGCATGAGAGGCTTTATAGGAAAGATGTGAGCTAGTCATCTGGAAGGTGGAAGGTGAGCTTATTACAAATACGTGCCGGGAGGATCTTCCCTGCTTCCAGAACACAGGGCAAACTAGCACAATCCCTCCTCATTCCTTGACCTGTGGAGGCCCAGACATCTCTGCAAATTCCTTAGGGATTTCTGACCTCATGGCTGCCTCTGCCTCTAGGAACCCTACTTCCCCTTGTGCTGCTGCAAGTGAGAAACTCAACCTTCACCTTCAATTTCAATGTCGGCAGTAAAAGCAAAAACAGTCACACACAACATCTGTGAATGCCCAGACCCTAACTGCAGCTTAGGATGGAGGGTGAGAAGAGGAAGGATGCTCTCTGTGGTCAACAAGCTCAGAGCACATCAGAATCATCTGGAGGGCTTGTTCAGACATTTCTGTGCAGCGCCCTCAGGTTGAGTAGGTCTGAGGTCTGGCCTGAGAACTTGCATTTCCAACCAGTTACTGGAAGATGCTCTTGCTGCTGGTTGGGGCCAACAATTAGAGGACCCCTGGTTTCCTAATAATCGCAAAGCAATAAAACTGGGCATGGCACCCAGAGTAGCCTGCAGTCCCAGCTACTTGGGAACCTGAGTCAGGAGGATTGTTTGAGCCTAGGAGTTCAAGGCAGCCCGGCCAGCCTGTCTAACAAGAAAGAAAAACAATAAGCAATAATTTTAAAACTCAGGAAAGTATAATTTCCTCTTCTTAAAATTTCAGTGGCTCTATCCTGAACCTAATTCCAGTATTTCTCCTCCTTACCACCCCTTCTCTCTCTCTCCTGCTGGTCTTCTTTATTCTCCAAACTCTTCTCTCCCATCTGTCTCAGGAGCAAATTCTCCTGCCTTAATGCAGAGGGATCCTGTGCATTATTTTGTTCATTAGTCTTCTCCAACAACCATGCTTTTGGGCACTGCACACATTTTTAAAAAATGAAACGAGAGAAAGAGGTCATCTCCTCATGTACTCGTTGTGTGGTTTTCCCAGTCTAGCACGCAAAGCATAACCCAAAAAGGGAACAAGATGATGAACCCCCTACACACAAGCACGTGCACTGTAGCCCAGCAATCACCTGCAGTTTCATGCTTGTGTGTGTTAATGCGTAACAAAGGACTCAGTGGTATAG